AAGTAAATAGCATTATGTTTGTAATTTCAAATTCCACTTGAGTTGGTGCTGGAATGGGGGCTCCTGGGATGGAATGAATGCATTCTGTATAACAGGACATGAATTTGGGGACAGGGGAGGGCAAAATGGTACAGCCTAAATGTTTACATCTCCCAGAATTTCTGTGTTGAAAGCTAGTCATCATGTGATGGTATTGAGAGGTCGGATTTGGGGGAAGTGATTACGTCATAAGACAGGGCCCTAGGAATAGAATTAATGCCCTTATTAAAGAAACTCTAGAGAGCTGTCTCACCCCTCTGCCAAAAAGAATGACACGGCAAGAAGATGGCTATGAATGAGCTAAGAATTGGTCCCTCACGTGACCCTGAGTCTGCAGGCAATACGATCTTGGACACTCCAGCCACCATAACTCTGAGGAATAATGTCTGCTTTTCATAAGCCACCGGCTCTATGGTAAACTGATACAGGAATGTGAGCAGCCAAATACATGCCCCCATTCTTTCTACCTTTCTTATCCCCTTAGCTATGACAACCACTGTGATTTGTTTGTTTGGTTGGTTGGTTGGTTTTGGGTTCTTGTTTTTTAGTTTTTTGAGACAGGGTTTCTCTGTGTGTCCCTGGATGTCCTGGAACTCACTCTGTAGACCAGGCTGATCTCAAACTCACAGAGATCCTCCTGCCTCTGCCTCCCCAGTGCTGGGATTAAAGTTGTGCAACCACCACCACCCAGCTCACTGTGATTTTTTTTTTTGGTCTTTCGAGGCAGGGTTTCTCTGTGTAGTTTTGGTGCCTGTCCTAGATATCATTCTGTAAATCAGGTTGGCCTCGAACTCACAGAGATCCTCCTAGCTCTGCCTCCCAAGTGCTGGGATTAAAGGCGTGCGCCATCACTGCCCGGCCTCACTGTGATTTTTAATAGGAATATTGGTTATGGACCTCATCTGTTTCATAGGTGATCTTAGCTATAAGCTTAGCTGTACTTTTTGTAGATATTATTTATCAAGTTGAAGCAATTCCTTCCTATTCTAGTCCACTCAGTGTTTTTTATTTGTCAAAAGCCTTTCCTGAATGTATTGGTATGATCACGTGATTTTTCTTCTTTACATTTGCTAACATGATTGCTTGATTTTCAAATCCCACTAGGCTGTGATAATACCTTACTGTACTTGTAATGTTTAATTTGGGATTATTGTGACTTTGTTTATGAAGCAGTACTTGCTAGCCTATAGGTATATGTTTGTATAGCATCTTTATTTGGTTTGAGTACTATGGAAATAATGGCTCTATAGACATAAGTTAAAAAATATTTGCTCTGCTCCTGTCTTCTGGATGATATTGCAGAGAAATGCTAATTTCTTCCTTAACAATTTCATAGAATTCAGCAGTGAATCCATCTAGGTCAAATGTGGAAGATTATTCATTAATTTCTTATTTTATCTATTTTTATGTGTATAGGTGTTTTGCCTGTATGTATGGATGTGGACCACTTGTGTACCAGTTGTTCATGGAGGCCAGAAAAGGGCTTTGGATCACCTGAAACTAGAGTTATAGATAACTGTGAGCTGCCACTCGGGTGCTGGGAACCAAACCTGGATCCTCTGCAAGAGTAGCAAATTTGGCCAGGCTTCATACACGCCTTTAATCCCAGCACTCAGGAGGCAGCAGTAGGTGGGTCTCTATGAGTTCAAGGCCCCTGTGAGTTCGAGGCCAGCCTGGTCTACACAGTGAGTTACCAGGACAGCAAGGGCTGTATAGTGAGACCCTGTCTCAAAAAAAGGGGGGGGGGGTCTAGACCCATAGGTTGAGAAGTGCTGAGACTGTAGCAGAAACCTGAACTTAGAATGCCATCTTGTGTCACAGAGGCAGAAGTGACAACAGGCAAAACACAAAATTGACCCTGTTTCAAAAAAAAAAAAAAACCAGCAAATGTCATTAACCACTAAACCATCTCCCTGGCCCAATGGTTCTCAACCCTTCTTGTGCTGTGACCTTTAATACAGTTCCTCACGCTGTGGTGATCCTCAACCATAACATTATTTTTGTTGCTACTTCATAACTGTAATTTTGCTACTGTTATGAATCGTAATGTAATAGTTGATATGCAGGATGGCTGGTGTGGGGGTTGCAACCCATAGGTTAAGAACTGCTGAGACTTAGAGCAGTTAAGAAATAATCTGGACTTAGAGCGCCACCTTGTGTCACAACAGCAGAACTACAGGTAAAACAAAACTAAACTCAGAAAGCTAGATAGCTATACATATTTATTACTTTTTTGAGACAGAGTCTCACTACGTAGCCCTGACTGTCCTGGAACTCACCATGGTAGACCAGGCTGGCCTCGAACTCACAGAGATCTGCCTGCCTTTGCCTCCTGAGTGCTGGGATTAAAGGTGTGTGCATATTTCACCCTTCCTCCTTTCCACTCCTCCAGGATTCTGCTGCTCTCAGCAAACACTGTCTGCCCACGAGGAAAGTGGCTTCCAAGTGTCCTTTACATCCATATGTCATCATATTGAGAACTAGGAATTAGACAGATTCCCCGATAGGCAGACAGATAGGGAGAGGGGCCAGGACTAGGTAATAAACTTCCAAAATGGCTAGCTGGCTTCTTCCTCCCGCACCTGACCTGAAATCAAAGCCGGACCACTCTGCTGACGGACTGCTTCTTTGCTGCTTGTTTTGTTGGGTTGTGTTCAGTTGTGGGAGTTCTTTACATGTCTGGAGATTCATTCAGATAAATGACTTGCAGATAATGGTCTCCCATTGTGTGTGTTGCCTTTTCATTTCTTTTTCATTTTCCCCTTGTCTGGGTTTTATGTTTTGGGGTTTTTTTTGTTGTTTGTTTGTTTGTTGGTTGGTTTTTGTTTTTTGTTGGTTTTTGTTTTTGTTTTTTGATGGGGTTGAGAGAGGGGCTAGGGATTTCTGGTTTTGTTTTGTTTGGGGCTGGGTTTTTTTGTTTTGGGGGGGGTCAATATTAAAACATTGCCAAGAGCAGTGTCAAGGAGCTTATTACTTACGATCTTTTTGAAAAGGTGTTTTGTAGCTTCTGAGCACATATTTAAGCTTTTAATTCACCTGTGTTAATTTTTGTGTGATATAAGCTGCGGCCAACTTCACTCTTACCTTTGTATATCTGGTTTCCCAACACCATTCAGGAAACTATCCTCCCCCATTGTGTGTTTTGCTAGCCTTGTTGAAAATTCCTCGATCGTGTGTGGGTGTAGGGGCTTATTTTTAGGCTCTCTGTTCTGTACTGCTGCTGCTCTATATGTCTACGGGGGAATTGTGTATGCCTCTGTGTGTGTGTGTGTGTGTGTGTGTGTGTGTGTGTGTGTGTGTGTGCTGGCACCCATGGAGTTCAGAAAAGGGTGTCACATCCCCTGGAGTAAGAATTACAGATGGTTGTAAGTCTCCCAATATGGATGCTAGAAACTGAATCCCAGTCCTCTGAAAAAGTAGCAAGCGCTCTTAACTCTGAGCCATCTCTCCTGCCCCTTATGTCTGTCTTTTACACTAGTGTCACACTATTTTGATTATGCATTCAATTATAGGTTTTTTTTTATTTCTTTTTTTGTTTTTCGAGACAGGGTTTCTCTGTGTAGCTTTGCGCCTTTCCTGGATCTCACTCTGTAGACCAGGCGGGCCTCAAACTCACAAAGATCCGCCTGCCTCTGCCTCCCGAGTGCTGGGATTAAAGGCGTGCGCCGCCACCCGACAAAAGTTTCATGGTTTTTTGTTTTTGTTTTTGTTTTTTTCGTTTTTGTTTTTTGTTTTTGTTTTTTTTTTAGCTGAGGACCAAACCCAGGGCCTTGCGCTTGCTAGGCAAGCGCTCTACCACTGTGCTAAATCCCCAACCCCAAATTTTTTTCCAAGACAGGGTTTCTTTGTGTAGCTTTACGCCTTTCCTGGAACTCACTCTGTAGACCAGGCTGGCCTCAAATTCACAGAGATCCGCCTGCCTCTGCCTCCCAAGTGCTGGGGTTAAAGGCGTGCGCCACCACCGCCCGGTCAATTATAATTTCACATCAGGACATGTGATAGCTTTACCTTTGTTCTTTCTCAAGATTCTTTTGGCTCTTGGGATCTTTTGTGGTTCCATACAAATGTTGAGGTTTTCTTTCTCATTTCTGTATTGAATTGAAGCAGTGTGGACAGTTCAACAATATAATGCTTCATTTCATCATCAAAATACAGATCTTTCACCTTTCTACTGATTTTTCTTCTTAATTTTTATTCAAATGGGTCCTTCTTTCCTTCCTTCCTTCCTTTTTTTCTTTATTTATTTTGAGGCAGGATCTCACTGTGCGGCACTGACACATGACGGGCCCAGATCTCACAGGAATGCTTTCCTTCTTTTATGTTAATCAGAAACCTTTTCCAGTGTTCAGTAAGAATCAAAAATGCCTGGTAGTCCAAAGTAAGGTGTTTTCAACAGCTTTAGAAACTTCTTGCTTCCTACAAAATGCATGCATTCTAAGTGGATTAGAGTGCAGAAACCCCATATCCGTTTCCTGCCTTGCTGTGCCTCTCGTCTCAGGCTTCACTGTTTGCTAGGAAAACAGTCTGTGCTGAACCACCTTAGTTTGGAGCATGTAGTAAGATTCACAAACATCTGTATGAGGCCCCCAACTGCTGCTGTTGTATGTTAGCGCTATTGATAAACTTTCATAGAAATCCAGTGCATGGCCATGTACTACAGAGCAATTCATATGCATACTTCATTTGGAAAAGCATAAATTCAAATTGGATGGATGGATGGATGGATGGATGGATGGATGGATGGATGGATGGATAAGATCTCCTTTTATAGCTATACAGTAGCCACTCAAAGTGTTACTTGGCTTTTGGCAGTTTTTATATGTGCCTTTTTTCTGATTTGTAATAGAAAAAAAAACAGAAAAAACTAGTAATGCCTTATAAGAATACAAAAAAAAATACAGAAACATGTAGCTTATAATGTTCAGCTTATCTTCTCATGGAATCTTGATCCTTTTTCTTAGACCAGAAGATCGATTCAGAAGTTACTAGAATGGGAAAATAACAGATTATACCACAAGGTAAGAAATTTAAGGCAAATAGGTGCCCCATTTGTGTATTTGTATTATCAGATTAAAAAAGTAAGCACTAACTGAATTATCCAGCACACAAAGGACTAACGAACTAGTCCTGTTATTAGCATATGTTCTTGATAAGGTATTTGAGGTAATGTTTTATGTCATGAAGCCTAGATTTTACTTTTAGTAACTCACTCAAACGCAGTACATTGTAATTAGCCAAAGATGATGGAAAAATTCTTAACCAAACTCTGCCTTTTTAGCTGGCTTTGCACTGGAAGCTGACTAAAAGGAAATGTGAAAGTAGCAATATGATGGAGTATGTAAGTATGAAGCTGTTTTAATTCTATTCTTGGGATTTCACCCCAGTGCAATGTTTTGCTGTGTTTGTCATCTGTTGTCGGTACCTTTTAGCTTCTCCACTGGAACTGCTGTCTGTTGGGGCTTAGAAGCCGCCATTCATTTTCTTTAGACTTGTGGCCAACCTAAAATTAAAAGTTTAGAGTAGATCATGTACCTCTTAGAACAGTCTCAGCTCCTGTGCTCAGCTGGTAATGTTGTAGAGCCTTCATGTCTGTTAGCACAGACACCCTAACATACAGCACTGACAGCAGCTGCTGCCTAGCAAAATACACCGAGGTGCAAGCTTATCAAAAGACCTTACATAGGAATTGACTTCCAGTTCTGGACCCATATCCCTGGCTTTTCTTGTTTGTTTGTTTGTTTGTTTGTTTGTTTGTTTGTTTTTGCTGTTGTTTGGTTGATTTGGTTTGATTTTCAAGACAGGGTTTCACTGTGTAGCCCTGGCTGTCCTGAAACTCACTCTGTAGACCAGGCTGGCCTCGAATTCAGAGAGATCCTCCTGCCTCTGCCTCTCGAGTGCTGGGATTAAAGGTGTGTGCCACCACCTCCTGACTATCTGATTTTTCTTTAACTTGGCTGATTTTGTTTTAAGATTTATTTATTTATTATAGTGTTTTGCCTGCACATATCCCTGAAGGCCAGAAGAGGGCATCAGATCTCAGGACAGATAGTTGTGTGTTCTTAACCTCTGATAACTTGGCTGAAATTTAACTTGGAGTGAATAAACTATTGAATAAATAAAGTCTATTAGGATAGATTTGAATATAGGTTAAGAATTTTTACTGAAAATGTACAATCTTGCCAGGTGGCAGTGGTGGTGCATGCCTTTAATCCCAGCATTCGGGAGGCAGAGCCAGGCGGATCTCTGTGAGTTTGAGGCCAGCCTGGTCTATAGAGCAAGATCCAGGACAGGCACCAAAGCTACACGGAGAAACCCTGTCTTGGAAAACCAAAAAAAAAAAAAAAGAAAGAAAGAAAGAAGAAAAGAAAAGGAAAGGAAAGGAAAGAAAATGTGCAATCTTGCTGGGTGTGATTGCACACACCTCTCATCCCAGCACTTGGAAGGCAGGGGGCAAGTGGATCTCTGTTTCAGGCTAGCTAGGGCTACATAATGAGATCCTATCTCAAAAAATTTTTTTGCAAAAATCAAAGAAAACAGGCAGCTTTAATCATAAAGCATAAGACCGTTTACAAAGAACATGATCTAGTCACCACCATTACCCTTCTAAATTTCCAATGTTTATCATCAACTATCCCAGAACTGAGAATATAGTGCAGTTGGTAAAGTGCTTGTCTGCCATCTACAGACCGCAGTTTGGTCCCCAGCACCGCTTTTAGCAGGCTGCCTATAATCGGGAAGTTCAAAGTCATCCTTGGCTGCAGAGTAATGTCAAGGCCAGCCTGAGATACATGGGACTACCTTTGTCGTGATGGTAATAGAATAGCATAATAATAGAAGTGGCTCATGCCTTTAATTCCAGCTCTGCCTCCAGCAGAGGCAGGAAGCTATCTGTGGAGTTTGGGGCCAGCTTGATCTACATAGAGAATTCCAGGCCAGCCAGGAATTCACAAAAACAGAAACCTTGTGACCCTTTCTGCAATTCAGTTGTTTTATAGTCAGTCCATTTGGGCAACTCCTATTTCACAAACAACTTACAAAAAAATAATAATCCTCAACTAATATTAGCTGCTTTAATTGAAAACTAAAAACACGTATTTTTTTTCCTAATCTGTATAAAGTAGGGGTTTTTTATTTTATTTTATTTTATTTTATTTTTATTTTATGTTCATTGGTGTTTTGCCTGCATGTATGTCTGCGTGAGGGTGTCAGAAGGCCTAGAACTGGGGTTCCAGACAGGTGTGAGCTGCCATGTGGGTGCTGGGAATTGAACCCGGGTCCTCTGGAAGAGCAGTCGGTGCTCTCAACCACTGAGCCATCTTTCCAGCCTCGTATAAAGTAGTTTTAGTCTCTTCTACTTGGCTGAAAATCAAAGGTCCAGGGATATACAAATGTAGTAGAGTTGTGAGTCAGGCAGTACAGCTGTAGGTTTGCCTGCCAGTTCCGTTTTGAAATGAATGGCCTGGTTTGTCACAACTTGTGCTGAATTCTTTGCAGACCTGTTTTGTGTATTTCACTCACTTCCTGTAATTAAGGGTGAAAGTACAATCCTGTGGAAATCAACTAGACTTTGCAGGTTTGTGTACACTAAGTGAAAACTATTTTGTTAATATATTCTTTTCTGTCTTTATTTTTACAGGTAATACTAATAGAATTCTTACCAAAATACCCCATCTTCCGACCCGACTGAGGAGCTTCGTTCGGTCACGTCTGTGTTATCTGTCATTTCCTACCCTTAGTGCCTTGTAGATGATCTTGGAATGGAGACAGTCTCCTTTGCTGTGTTCAGTTTATTCTTTACAACAGTAGAATATTCTTCTCATTCTTTGATTTGTGTTGATTTCAAAAGACAATTTGCACATCTTTTCTGTTATTAAATGAGGCTTGTGTTTTGCACTCTCAATTTTTAAATAAATACACACAAACATATACAAGTATATGTAGTTGACACTAAAAACATCAGTGCCAGTGTGTAAAGAAACAAACAAAACCCTTGTTCTGAGCATGCTGCCTTAGGATTTTCACACTCACTGTTTCTAAATATGCATCATTTTCTAGGCTATTTAATGCTCTGGAATCCCTTACTGGACACACCCAAATATGCTTTTGGTAGCTTTTAGAAATGGTTTTACTCTGCTTTTAAAGAACCTGCAATTAATAGCACTGGTTTCCTCCTGCACTTTGCTAAACTGTCACTTATGTTAGTGGATAAAATATTTAAACTCCTAAAGACTTGTAAATATTGTCTCTTTGCATAATGTAAAATGTGGTATGCCGTGGTTTACAGAATGTATTAATATTCTTAATGTATTGCCAACAATTCCGCATAGATTTTAATATGAAGTTTGCAAGCATCCTTTTGAATGTAGAGACCTTTAACATGCTGTTTTGTGACAGAGCCAAAATGAGTATGTTAAATTTCAGGTGTGGGCAGGATTGCCCTTCCTAATGAAGTGGATTAAAATTGATATCATTAGTTCAGACCACAAGATTACATTACACCTGAGACCAAGAATTTTATTTTTTCCATTTAATTCACTGTTCTCCATTTATCCTCCACTCCACCCCCCAAAATATTTGACATCCAACTCATCTTACGGCTGCATTAGCTCTCATTTCCTTTCCCTTCTGTATCTTTTCCCTCCTTTGAAAATACATAGAATTTCCACCTTCAAGTGTCTTGAGAGCCAGGCGGTGGTGGCGCACGCCTTTGATCCCAGCACTTGGGAGGCTGAGGCAGGTAGATCTCTGAGTTCGAGTCCAGCCTGGTCTACAGAGTGAGTTCCAGGACAGCCAGGGCTGTTACACAGAGAAACCCTGTCTCAAAAAAAAAGTGTCTTGAGATTTTGAATCCTGTGAGGTCTCAAGGCCTCCATGAAAGGCATGGTTTATCCTCTTCTGCAGTTCCTCTAGTCTACAAAGAGTGCTGAGAAACTGTACCTACAGACTGTGTAGTAGGCCGGTCAGAGTTGATACAATATTTTTAGCCTTCTGCTTGAGAATCTTTTCTAAACATTTGGAAATTATCAATGAGGAAAGAGAAGTCAAATTTAGAAAAAATTGTTAAGTGGTCACATGTTTTGAGTGGTACCTGCATCTTTCTCTGTTTTTTTTTTTTTCTTTCCACAATTCAATTGAGTGAGATTACCACTCTGGTTCTACTACCGTTTGAAATGATAATATAACAAAAGTGTTCGATCCCATTAACTCAACTGCAAGTGAATGCCTGTCTGTGGGCGGGGCTGGTAATTTGCAGTGACTGACACACATTCTCTTTGTCCTTCCACTCTTACCTGCTTTTAAGTAAGTTCACTCCAGTGAACAGAACAATCATCTCTGCACACAAGGTCAGGCTTTTTGAAGCCACTTTTCCAGGTTATGCCTAATCTGAAATCCTTAGTCCTTGACCAGAGAAGGAGGAGAGACACTCACTTTGATATGTGGTTCTGATGGTTTGCACAAATACTTTTGGAGCCCCCATCCCCCCGTGTCACCCAGCCACCCCAAATCTCTAAGTTCTAATATATTGTGTATGCCTGCAAATATGTCTGCCTGCTGCAAATTGAAGGTGTATTTTTATAGAGAAGAAGGAAGCCTCTGAAAATGCATACCCAATGTCTGGTTTTATAGCTAAGGTCAGGGAAAAACATATCTATGTTTTATGTTCCAGCTAATGTCATCGGATTTATGCTTCATACTGTGACATTTTAATACCAAAACTGATTTCCATCATAATACAGAATCTTTAATTCTCACTGGTAAAATAATCACTTGTAAATGTCAGCCCTCAGCAATCTTACATTTTGTCTCAAGCCTTAGAATTTGGCCAAATAGTGATCATAGTAACTTTTTCTGCCATGTACAAATCACACTTCATTTTGTTCAAAAAACAAGAAGTGTAATGAATTGTTTCCATGAAACAGATATTAATATAGGAATAGCTTGTATCTGGAGGTGACCAAGTATAATTCAAGTTACAATAGTATTTGTCATTAAAAACATTTGCCACAATATGTCAATTCAATTGGACCTACTCACTCATAAATATGTTATTTTATTGTTCAATATACTGATTGACTAATAGTTTCTTGAGCTACTCAGAAACAATCTGGTTTTTCTTTTCCTTTCTTCTTATGTGACTTTGTTTCACGTTGCTTTCCCTTAAAGGAAGTGATTAGAATTTGGGTAGCTTGAGTGGGGAAGAGATTCCTTTTCATTGAAATTATTCAGAGCTAATGTGACAGAGTAAGCCTTTGTCTCTAATTCCTCCCCCGCCAAACTTTGTTTTTCTTTTAGCCTCAGGATAGAATGTAACTTGTATTTTTCCATTGGGTTAGCCAACTATTTTGTGAAAGTGAGTTTTGATGAAAAAATTTAATTTAAATTTCTTTGATACATAATATCCCTTTAAACTGCCGTGGTAGTTTCCAGAGGGAAAAAAGTTTAAAAATAACATGTTTTTTGCCAAAGCATTTAAATCTCACCAGGCTTTGAGATTGCAAGTTAAGACTTTTTTTTAAAGTCACATTCTGGAAAACCTGGCATGGTGGTTACACCTTTAATTCCAGCACTTAGGAGGCTAAAGCAAGAGAATCGCCCTGAATTTGAAGCCAGCCAGGGCTACAGAATGCGACCCTGTCTCAAAAAAAAAAAAAAAAAAAAAAGGGAGGGAGGAAGGAAGGAAGAGAAAGAAGGAAGAAAGAAAAAGGAGAGAGAGAGAGAGAAAGAAAAAGAAAGAAAGAGAGAGAGAAAGGAAGAAAGAAAGAAAGAAAGAAAGAAAGAAAGAAAGAAAGAAAGAAAGAAAGAAAGAAAGAAAGAAAGAAAGAAAGAAAGAAAAAGAAGGAGCCGGGCGGTGGTGGCGCACGCCTTTAATCCCAGCACTGGGGAGGCAGAGGCAGGCGGATCTTTATGAGTTCGAGGCCAGCCTGGTCTACAAAGTAAGTTCCAGGAAAGGCGCAAAGCTACACAGAGAAACCCTGTCTCGAAAAAAAAAAAAAAAAAAAAAAAGCAAGCAAGCATTGGTTTCTGTTACTTCTCATTTGGTCCAAGATGTAAATTGATCCAACTGGTCATTTTAAAGCTTGTCCAAAAGGCAAGTAGCACCTATATTATTAATAAAAATATGGGCAAATGTCATTTGCAGATTAACTCGATCTCAGACGTATCCTCTCCTCTTTTCCCCTCTTACCCCACATTAATTTAGGAAAGAGGTCGTTGTAACTTTAGAAGTAGACAGGAAAGTGCCTTGTCTTTTTCAAAGATAACATGGTATATGGAAGGAAGCAGAATGAATGAATAGGTAGATTATTAGAAATTATTCTTTTCAACTAGGCATGATAGCACAAGGTTATTGTATGTCTCTTATTTAAGCCCATTTACTTATCTTCCAATCATGCGATACATTAATGACAAAATATCATAGAATAAAAGTGTCACTCACTTAAAATTACTGTAATTTTAATGCTAGTAAGCATAGAATTTAACATAGTTCTGGAAGGACAATGGTCATTGATTAAAGACCCTACCAAAACTCATTTAAGAATTGAATGTCCATGTTTTATATACTAGCATGACCTGTAAACACTAATATCTCAGAAATTAAACTGTGTTCATGCCTAGCATTGACATTTTTAATGAGAGTTATTGTTGCCTTTGATAATTTAAGTAAAGCTCAATAACATTTGTAAGCCTATCAGCAATTAGGTCTTTTCAAATGTCTGCAACCTTTACAAATCATTAGCACTTCGATTTTTGTTTACAGATAAGCTGCCATTTAAAAATTAAACCACTACTTGAACATAAAGACCCCAAACAATATTTCATCTGAATTTACTGTATGTCCTAGGCAAATATAGAAATTATACTTACCTTATTAATTGGAACAGTTCAATAGCAGAAATATTTTTTACTAAATTGACTGGAAGTGTTCAAGTTCATTGAAATTAACTCCAATTATGCCTATAAAAATCTGCTTCTTTAAAAAATAAAAAAAAAAGGAAAAGGTCTATTTTACAACTATCAAATCATTCAGGTTCCCTGAGTGGTGAACTAATTGGGAGATTTTTCATGGTAAAGAATAAGTTTATTAATACTTGTTCATATACTTGTGATCTAAAAATAATTGAAGGATATCTATAAGTATATCCTACCATGTATGTGTATGTGTGTATATATATATGTGTGTGTGTGTATGTATGTATGTAATTCTTATCTTGCTCCAACATTTCCTTACCTGATTCTGAGCCAGCCTTTTTATTTTGATGATGGCAACCTGAGAATATGTTCCATTTTATGTGAATTTTGTCAAAGTCAGACTTAATGAAGAAACAATCTATTTAATATTGTGGGCGCCAGGCAAGTGACCTAAATTACGTGTCAATGTTTTCATCTGTAAAAGGAAAGAATTGAACCTTGAGCTGGACAAAAAAAAAGTGAGAGATGAGCTAACATGCCATGGTTCTGTGAAGCCATGGAAGGTCTTTGTTGTGCAGAGTGTGAGAATCATTATTCTCAGATCTACACACTTGGTAGAAACTCATAGTGCCTTGCACACAATTTGAGTTCAGTTTGCTGGCTGGCTGCTAGTTGGTGTGTGTTAATAAAAGCACACTCAAAGAACCTGATGCTTGGTAGACCTTATTCCCTCTGTGCTGATAAAAGTGAATGTAGTTTCCCTAGGAAGCGAAGGCTGGGGTCTCTTTGTTTTGCCATGGGGAATCTGACTATGCAGCTGGGGTCCAGGCAAGAATTGTAGCTGTGACAACAGCAGATATGTCAAAGCGTGTCCTTAGACCGTGTGAAGAGTTGCATATTCAATTTCACATCTGCTTCAGTGTCTCAGCAAGTTCCCTACTCTCAAAAAGATCTATTGGAATGAATTTAGAAAATTAGGTGGAAAGGAAAATGGCATAGAGTTCAACCCCAAGTCGCTTCTGGTTTAATTCTTAGCTCTGCTGCTTAATTCCTCTGTACCTCATGTCCTCATTGCTGAAGTGGGGACGATAATCTGGACCTACCTCACAGGGGAATTGAGGGTCTTTTTCATGTGTTCGTGTGCTTAGAAACTGACTAAAAGAAGTGTTGGATCGTATTTCTAAGTAGATGTGACTTTCAATCCATGTTATGTTTTCTTTCTCCGTAACACTCTAGAGAGTAAGTGTTGCAATTGATTTTTTTTTCAATAGTCGCTTTTGTTGTTAATGCCCTATTTGTTAAACATGAGTGATTGTACTATATTAATACTTGATTTAGTGAGGAAAGCAGGTGGGTATAAACCAGTGGTTCCCAGCTTGGGGCTGGGATAAAGATAGCAATGGAGAGTATCTTTGAGCCTTTTTCAAGAATTATTAATTCAAAAAAGAACACTAAAGGCCACACACACTGATCTACCACATTCCTTCTACACCAGCCAAACAAGAATATGGAATCACCATGCATTTTGTTCATGTCCTTTCCTGTTCTGTTGACATTGCTTACCGACACTGATCAGAAGCTCTGAACGGGAGTGTGCTTGTAATTCATGGAAATAAGAAAGCCATCCTTAAGTGTACTTTAATATATACTTGAAAATGGGGAAGGAATTGAGAGATCCATATAATGAAATTGTTGGGAGCCACTTTTATAAAAGAACTAAGACTCTCGGACCCTCTCAACACATTGCTTCCTAGTCCCTGAGTGATGGAGAGAGAGAGAATGTCGACTAGATTGGGCTGTATATTCAGATTATAATGGCCCTCAGTTTTGCTTTGTTTCAGGATTCTGGAACTGGCCTGATTCATGGAGGCGTGTCAATGTACACACACAGGATTGCAAATGTGCAGTGTTCTAGTGTCATGTTGGTCTAAACAACAATGTCTCAGCCTCTTAAAGTGTGTGTAAAGTCTGTATGATAATCAAGGCAATAAGTTCTCAATTGTTCCTTTTACTCCTGCTTATTTGATTTGCTTTTGTCTTGGCATAATTTTCCTGCTTTTCTGTTTTGATTGTAAGCAAATCGTTGGAAATTGTTTTAATGCCTGGACTTTGGAACAAGTGTTTGAAATTATATAATCTACAAGCTAGTTTGCCATCCTTGGACTAACCACATACAAGTATGAATCTCTACTGCAAGAACAGGACATCCAGATAGCTACAGAGCTGGCGTTGTCAAAAAAAAAAAAATGGTTGAAAAGACCGACTTCTACATTTGGCAGATGATTCCTGTTGGGACAGCTCTACCAGAAGAGAATAATAGTGGACATGTCCATCAAACCAAGAACTTTCATGCATCTTGTAGTGTTATGTAGCCTGTGGAATGAATTCCTCTTCCCCCTGGAGTCCAGGATTGACTCCCCTGGAAGAACTCAACCTCTACCCAGCTGTGCCAAAATGAAGGCTACCTGCCTCTGAGACTCACTGCTGCTTCTGTCCTTGTTCACTCGTCGGATAAAATGTGATTCTCAGGATGCAAAGTTCCAATAAAGTACAAATCTATGTTCATGAGTTGAAGCATGTGGCGTTGGGGTCCACCTTCTTCCTTTCCTTCCTTATGTTTTCATCATTATAATGTCATTCCTTGGGGGTGGGTACCTTAACTCGGCTTGGAAAGGTGCTTGCTGCCAAACCTGCTGACCTGAGTTTAATTCCTGGGACCCACATGGTGAAAGGAGAGAACTGACTCCTACCAGTTGTCCTCTGACCTCCTCAAATGCCATACACACACACACACACACACACACACACACACACACACACCCTAAATGAATAAAAATAAGTA